GTGAGTGGTCGACAGCATCAGAATGTCTCTCTTGTCTCGCCACTTCAGCACGGTGACACCAAGTCTCTTTTGTTGTGCCATCACGGAACCTCTTTTCAGCTTCTTTCCAGTTACCTGTTTGGGTAGGCCTCTTCTGTTCCTTCCGACGGTGCCAATCATATGGGTCTTTCTTTTGATCAATTGCTCAGCAAGCGGGATACTTGTGTACCAGTTGTCCGTGAAGAGAAGTCTTCCGTTGTCGAGCAAACCGTCCATGAGCTTCATGACCACAGATTCGGCCACAGTGCCAATTCTGGAAGTATCCTTTCTGGCGTACACAATCGTTTTGTACGTGTAGCCGCCCTTAGAACACACTTTGAAAAGCTTGATGCCGTATCGGTGTCGTTTGTTTGGAATATATTGGCAAAACACGATTCTGCCTCGGAATGGAACCAGCGACTCATCAATACAGACGTCTCTACCGGGCCTGTAGATATTCTCACACGCGGTATTGAACAAAGTGATAAACGGCGAGATCTTGTACAGCCTGTCAGAGCCATCAAAACTGGCGTTGTCAGCTAAATGGAGGTTCGCCAAAAGCTTCTCGAAACGGTTTCTGGGCATAACTCGTAAGCCAATTGGGTGACCACCAAATACAGGTCGGGAGCTCCAGTAATCCCGCAGCTTTGGCAATTTGACAACACCCATTTGAAGACATGAGCCAAAAAATTTCTTCATTTCTTCGGCTTCAATTGGCACCCACGCTTGATCTTTTTCTTGTCCATATCTGTTGGTTTCGTCGACAATGAGGTTGAGAACATCCGCTCTCAAGAAAAGACAATAAAAATCGATTGGATATTTACATCCTGCCAAAATCCCTGGATCTGTTCCCCAATAGTCATCAAAGTTCCAGGAATCATGTACAGTAACAGTGTCTGACCATGAATCCGAGTCGTCGTCGTCATCATCTTCCTCCTCGTCTTCTTCTGAACTATCATCAACCTCTACCAAACATCCGGCACTATCGTCATGCTCATCAGCCTCTTCCTCTTCTCCACTTTCAATCAGAAGGCAGTCAAAACTGACATTTAGCTCTTCGTGCTCTTCTTTAGACATTTTACCCGAAAACGGGGAAACTAAATAAAAGCGTGAAATAATGTTCACGATTTATAACAAAAAACCCGAAATTTATATAAAAAAACACGGAAAATGGAACCTTTATTACAGCGAGGAAAAAAAGACTACCATATGGGACAATACGACACGCCAGTGGGTCGTACGCAAAAAACGAGAAAAAAATGGGTCTGTCCCACGCGCGAAAAAACGAAAAACGTGCGTTGTCGTCAATGTGTTAAGGAGGTCAGGGGACTATCATACGGGAAGCGTTTAGAAGTGTTGGGACTGTACTCGCTCGGGCGTAGGTTATGGAGGGCGTTCTCATCCAGGCTTTCAAGATAATTAAAGGAATAGATAATGTCGATTGTGGTAGGTTTTTCCAGTTTGATGGCAGCAAGAGAACGAGAGGCAACCAACTTAAGTTGTACAAACTGCAGGTGCAGCTCAGGTCGAGACAGGAATTTTATTTACTTGCAGAGTGGTGAACAAATTGAATACGCATTGCGATTGTTGGTACGTACGAAAGCAGACCTTGTGACAGCGGGAGAACACGTGCCAAGGTCGTGCGAAGGTCACCAGCACGAACGTGGCATGATTACTCGCGTCAGCTTGACGTACATATAAGGGGGTATACGGGCTTTGTGCGCACTCTGTATATAGCAGGTATTACTGGAAATCCTCGACTATAGCTCAACCATCTTTCGTTAGTATCTCTATCGCGCCGTACAGAGTAAATCCTCACTACAAACAGAGTCAGATCCGATAAGAGCTTGGACATGAAACGAGACCGAGTCATCCTGGCTCAGTCAGCCTAATGCAAAAGTCCTACCAACACAATCCGCATGAGAGGGAGGCCTTGGCATACGCCTAGGCCAAGGTCTTGCTCTTCGGTGCGCCCTGAGTATCTTGTACTTAACAGCTCTGTCCGATCATTCACATGGCACCTTATTCAGCTTATGTCTTGAACCCTTGACTTAAGCACGTCTTCCCGTAATAAACATGTTGTGATATACTTTTATTAGTCTCATGTGAATATTGCAGGCTTACCTTAGGTCTTTGATATGGTGTTCGCGAGTGTAGATTGGCCATGTGTTCATAAAAGTATGATGGCTCCTTATTTGATATTATTGTTCACCGTATTGCATTTGGCGAATTTTGCGAATTTCAATGTTCCATGATTTGTCTAATTGTTAGACTTGTGCAGCAGAGAGTTAACCATGATTTTAGCCACAATGATATTAAAGGCGTTAATGGCGAAGAAATTCGTATGATCTTCATCCCATCTGCATCGTCCGACTTTCCATCCTATCTGACCTAAAATTATGCCTGCCGTAGCAGGGCGCGCTTGGCCTACAAGCCTATGCCTTTCCAAGCCATAGGAGACGGGCTGTATCCCCTGCTTGAAAGCGACTCCGTATGTACAAGTTAGGGACAGAAATTTGATCCGAGTCTAAGTCTTGTATAAAGTTGTACCACAAACAGGTTCGGTTGAGAATCGACGTCGAAAAAGACCGAACGGTATACTGACGTCGGATGACGTGTCCAGAGAAACTCTTAGCTGCAAATGAACGTTGCCGCGAAACGTATTTATGAATAACCTCGACGTATACATTTGCATTCGTATCTCTCACGTTCATACGTGAGCCGCTGCGAAGGCCGTTCCCAATCAAAAGAATCCGCAGAAGTATCACGATGGCTCCAAATTTAAGGTTTAGGACGTAGAGAGGGAGGCCCCAAAGATCGAGAATGCTAAGGAATTCAACCAGAAAAGTGACGTACCGAACGGCATAATCAACATGGGCGTTCTTAAAAGTTTCGACACTGCGATAAGTTTGTATTTCGCCTTCCAATCGGTACGACACATCTTCATCGACCAAACGGGAGGGCTTATTCTTAACACATTGACGACAATACGACCCACCGGTGGGTCGTATCAGTTTTAATTGATTTTTTCTGCGCTTTTAATAATTTCTCGCGATTTTTTGCAATTAATCGATGATAATAGTCCTCCAATAATACTGTAAACATCGTGGGCAAGCTTAATCTGGTTTCAATATTTATTTGTCATTCTTCAAAAAACAAACAATTTTGAACACCTTTTATGATGTTTGGTGAAATAATCAATGCAAAAATGCTTGTGGCATTGACAGCATCTGGTGTTGACCTTCCGGGCATGTTTGTCAGCAAATCGAGATCCCTCCTTCTTGGACAAATCTCGGCAGCATCTAGTGCATATTTTCCTCGAGACAGCCTTGGGACCAGCAAGTTCTTCCAGAGTGTGTCGGGTAGGCTGAGTGTATAATCTCTCGTTGTCGAGCAGAGACTCAATTACTTCAGTCTTGAAATCAGTCAGTCTGATTTTCTGCACATGGTCGCTATACACGTACAACCTCCAAGCATTGACAAGAGCCGTCTGGGTGAGCAAATGGAAGAATAAACGAATGTACCATTTGCTCGTCTTCCTGACGTAAGGCGAATAAGAAGCCATTTGATCGCTTGTGTCGACGAACAGTTTCACTTGATTGTAATCTTGAACAATCATTGGCTTTGCTTGTTCACTCATCGCGTCGTCGTGAGTGGTCGACAGCATCATAATGTCTCTCTTGTCTCGCCACTTCAGCACGGTGACACCAAGTCTGNTCACTCATCGCGTCGTCGTGAGTGGTCGACAGCATCATAATGTCTCTCTTGTCTCGCCACTTCAGCACGGTGACACCAAGTCTGTTTTGTTGTGCCATCACGGAACCTCTTTTCAGCTTCTTTCCAGTTACCTGTTTGGGTAGGCCTCTTCTGTTCAATTTCTCAGCAAACGGGATACTTGTGTACCATTTGTCCGTGAAGAGACGTCTTCCGTTGTCGAGTAAACCGTCCATCAGCTTCATGACCACAGATTCGGCCACAGTGCCAATTCTGGAGGTATCCTTTCCGGCGTACACAATCGTTTTGTACGTGTAGCCGCCCTTAGAACACAATTTGAAAAGCTTGATGACGTATCGGTGTCGTTTGTTTGGAATATATTGGCGAAACACGATTCTGTCTCGGAATGGAACCAGCGACTCATCAATACAGACGTCTTTACCGGGCCTGTAGATTCTCTCACACGCGGTATTGAACAAAGTGAACGGCGAAATCTTGTACAGCCTGTCAGAGCCATCAAAATTGGCGTTGTCAGCTGAATGGAGGTTCGCCAAAAGCTTCTCGAATCGGTTTCTGGGCATAACTCGTGAGCCAATTGGGTGACCACCAAATACAGGTCGGGAGCTCCAGTAATCCCGCAGCTTTGGCAATTTGACAACACCCATTTGAAGACATAAGCCAAAAAATTTCTTCATTTCTTCGGCTTCAGTTGGCACCCACGCTTGATCTTTTTCTTGTCCATATCTGTTGGTTTCGTCGACAATGAGGTTGAGAACATCCGCGTTCAAGAACAGACAATAAAAATCGATTGGATATTTACATCCTGCCAAAATCCCTGGATCCGTTCCCCAATTGTCATCAAAGTTCCAGGAATCATGTACAGTAACAGTGTCTGACCATGAATCCGAGTCGTCGTCGTCATCATCTTCCTCCTCGTCTTCTGAACTATCATCAACCTCTACCAAACATCCGGCACTGTCGTCGTGCTCATCAGCCTCTTCCTCTTCTCCACTTTCAATCAGAAGGCGGTCAAAACTGACATTTAGCTCTTCGTGCTCTTCTTTAGACATTTTACCTGAAAACGGGGAAACTAAAAAAAAAATTAATTTCGCAACTAATGTTCACGATTTATAACAAAAAACCCGAAATTTATATTAAAAAAACACGGAAAATAGAACATTTATTACAGCGAGGAAAAAAAGACTACCATATGGGACAATACGACCCACCGGTGGGTCGTACGCAAAAGAAGAGAAAAAAATGGGTCTGTCCCACTCGCGAAAAAACGAAAAACGTGCATTGTCGTCAATGTGTTAAATATCTGACGCTCTGAATTTTTGTGGGGGTACGTTTTGCACTAGCTGACGACCTCATTTTGAAATGTAACGTTGGATTTTTGCCATGCTGATGAATCTGAGAGGGGATAGGAAAGAATCCTCCCCGTTACACATATTCAAAACTTGTAAGAGGAGTAAATTAGGGTAAATTGCTTGTCGGTCCCTATGGGATTCGAAGTTTCCGAGTCTGATTCTCGTCGAAGGGTCGTTCTCCATTCGAGAAACTCGGCGAAAACACGTTCAAAGAACGTATTCGCAAAAATGGGCTGCCATCAAATTCGTGTTCAGGACGACGACTCGAAAGGGAAAACAAAGGGGATGAAAGGAATCGTGCTCCGAGCTGGACGCAAAAAACTTTCGCTGAAGAAACATCCGTATGGACCGACTCGTTCCGTAAATTACGCTTCACAATTTCTGCACCTCTCTTCTGACGGTCTCCTCATCGATGCTCTGTCGCAGGTTCAAGATGTCGAGGATGACGTCTCGGAGGACGTGGGCCACGGGGTGACCTTTGCCTTCGTGGACCTTGGCCTTCATGGCCTCGATGTGACGAAGGAAGGACGTCCCCGGCTCGTGATCATTCATGATTTCCGGATCCGCGTAGAGGACGGGAAGGGCGAAGCAGGCGTGCATCGCCCCGTACGTCTCCGCCGTCTTCACGAATCTCTCTACGTACTCCCCCAAATCTTCCGTCAGATCCACCCCCAGATCCCGCAGTATCTCGCAGAAGGTCTTGTAATGAGTCGCGAGGAGTCCGGTGAGGATGCGACGTCGGAGGGTCGTGGGGATGTCGATGAAGGCGAAGAAGGCCAAGTCCACGGCGGGATGGCAGCAGGAGAGAAGCTGAAGATCCACGATTTTGCACGAATTAGGAATTTTCCCGCCGTCTCCGTCGTCGGCGTACGAGTAGAGGATGTTGGGAAAATAGAAGTCGCCGTGAACGATGACGTCCAAGGTCCCGGACGGGATCATCGGTTCCCGATAGACCTTGAAAGGTTCTCCGTCCCCAGAAAGGAAACCGTGGAGGTGGAGGCGAGCCGGACAGGTCGATCCGAACGTGGACAGGAGGAGTCGTTCCGCACTCTCGACGCATCCCCGAATCCACGGTCCGCATTCACGTTCGGGGAATCCGTACTTCTCCACCAGAGGGTATCTGCGTCCCAATCCGAAGTAGACATGCATACATCATCGATAGTCATCGAGTCATCCTTACGGTATGCAAAAACGCATAACATGCAAGCAAACGCGCAAAAAATGATAACTTTCGTCTACGCTGGTCAGCATCATCATCAATCTGGTCGAAATCTGTCAAAGCACCAGCGGTTATCGTAAGTGATTAATAATGCACAACTGTGAATTTTCCATCTGATTTCCCAGTCGCAAGTCAGGTTTCGTACTTGACCACAGCTCGGCAGTAACTTTAACAACTGTATGTACAATGTTAAGGATTAGCTGTATAGAAGGGCTATTTCCTGAGAAACTTACAGTCCCTCCTAATACCCTCCCAACTTTTAAAGCAAAAATTAGCAAGTAAAGAATGTGATGAATAGACCCTTATTGGACTGGGCTGGGAGTAGGAGGCTTGAAAGAAATAGGCCTGAAAAACGGCGGAAAGATGGGTACTCGATTCTCGTCCATTGAAAAAAATTACATTCTGCCCTCACTAGATGTTCTCATAGCAAAGGACCTCTTCTCGACATTCACGCATTGAAGAAAGAGGGTCGAGGACGAAGAGTTCGTCCATTTCCATCGTCCGCTCCAGTCCCGAAACGCCCGGAGTGGCTAACGCCTCGGTAATGTCATGCCGTTTAAGCAGTAGTGTTTTCGGACTGACTTTCCCCCATTTATCCCCCCTCCTCTGGGGCTTTTGGAATTGGCACAAGAGCGACACCGTGCGATCGTAATCCTCACTAATGAAGATGAGCGAAGCACATGGAGCAATATCTCTTTCGGAGCGAGGAAAATACTACTTCGCAACCCGTCAGAGAGATTCAAGGAAAAGCATGGAGGACACGTCATCGGGGGGGAATGTGAATCCGAAAACACTATTGAGGTATTCCAGCTCGCTCGAGTGATAGAATCATGGTTGTACCTACAACAGGGATTCCCTCGAGAAGAAAAATTTCATGAAGGTGGCTTCCCGGAGCTATGAAGAGACCCACTAATTGAGCTCTACCTCGAACGAATCTCGAGATGTGCTGTCCAAGAGACAGCCTCCAGTGTGATGAGTCACCAATAGGTTCAACAAACTATCTTTCGCCCTAATGGAACTAGGAAATCGTTTTTGGACTGAAAGATGAGGCGTGGCTGAATCAGATTTTTTCTATAAACTTACCTTTTTGTCTTTATTGCATAAATTGAAAATTATTGAAAATGCGGAAAATTTTAAGATTTACATCGAAATTTCGAATAGAGGGGGAAATGGTAACACAGTCAACTTTAGAAACATCGCAACACTAGGTAATAGCAATTTGTGAAATGCAAAAATGACAACTTATATGTTTCAAACAACAGAAAATTGATTTCGAAAAGATCATTTTACCTTTTTTTTCTCTCAGATGGTTTATTTCTATTGCTTCAAACAAGATACGAACTTGAAACTAATGTGAAATGAAAACTCTCCGAGTTCTATTACCTCGTGACTGAGGTCGTCACTTTGGATTTTCATGTCTGTGTTTTTTTTGTACTTTGGAACGCGCCACTTTTTCTTTTGAAGAATGTTACTCAGTGCTAGTAACACAAACAGATCTGGGCACAATTCAGCTGTGATGAATAATAGTGGTTCCCAAACATCAACAACAAACAGGATAATTAAAATGTCAAGGATGTGGTTCAATTCCACATTTAAATGTGGAATCGAGATTATGTCTCGATTTTATAAATAGAGATGTGCCGGATAGGATTTTGACCGGATACCGAATTCAGGACATCCTGTTGCACGTATCAGGCCGGAACCAAAGCCGGAGCCAGATAGTTGCGCATGCGAAGCATCCTTCACTTAGTCGCGCATGTGAGGCAGCTTTCACTTTTTTTTTGCACAGGCAATCTCAAGGGCTCCGTCGTTTGTCCCTTCTCACTTTCTATCTAGCAAGGACAAGGACTATTGTTAGAAACACGTAGGTGCCTTTCGTAAATGGAACAGGTATAGTGCCGAGAAACTCCGGTCATCCTAAGAACCGATTAAGTTTTTCTTGGAATTTCGGTCCGAGGTGAAGCCGAACACCTTAAGAAAGAATAAAATAAAAATAAATAAATAAAAATAAATAACCGTGTCCGTGAGGGAAGGAGAGAAGAAGGATCGGAAACTAAGGCAGAAAGCATCTTCATAATGATATGTACATGGCCGCGAGATACTCGCAGAAACAGATAATTTGTGTGTGATCTCCATGCCATCACGTGTTGTCTTAATTGCTCTTTTCTCCGTTCTGACGGACGACTGGGCTTCCTTCATTGGTGGAGGGGAGGGGGGGGGGGGGGGGGGGGGAACGAAATCCTTTCAAAGGCCGATTTGGCAAGGTGAAAAAATCATCTTAGAAGGATTCTCTGGGAAAGACTAGCTTTTTTTTCTCGTCAGACGAAATCGTTCGTTCCTGTTTTCAATCCCGATATCGAATAGTCACCGGATATTCAGTACATCACTAACATAAACGAAGTAACCAATGGATTCAAGACTATTGATCACAGTTGAATCATTGTCAGACCTGTTTGTGCTATCAGAATTCCCATTGGGTAACACTTTTTTCAAAAGAAAGAAATATCATGTTCTCAAGTACGTGTACAATAACACTTATGGGCATGAAAATTCAAAGTAACAGCATGGAGTCATATGAGTAATGAATTACTTTAATTTGACTCTTGTTTCAAGTTCGTATCTTGCTTGAGATAAAAACAAATCGTCTGAGTAAAAATTGGTCAAATTTGATTTTCCATTGTTTGAAACAAAGAAGCACGTTGAAAATTTAGCTCTTTACATTGCTATTAAGTAAGTAGTATTACAGTATTCCAAAAGTTCTCATGTTACCATATTTCCCACTGTTCGAAATTTCAATATAAGTTTGGAATTTTCTGAATTATTGAAATTGTTTGATTTCTGTAATAAATATAGAGAATCTGGTCATTTGAGCCGCCCCCCCCCCCCCCCCCCCCCCCCCCCCCCCCCCCC